AACAACAACAGAAGGCATTTGTCCTCTTATAAAAGTAAAGTAATGGTCTTAGAGAAAATGGGCAAGATGGGATCAGAGATTTACCCATCTAAACTCTGCTACTCAAATAAATCATTTTGGTTTAGCTCTTTGTCTTAAAAAAAAAAAATTATATGGTAAGGAATAAGTATCTTCATTATGAAAAACACTAGCATATATAGAGTAAAATTAGCAAGTTTTCTCCCTCCCCACTGTTGACTGTTTAGAGTATACTCAAAGTGTGTTTAAATGCACATATAAATATATATGAATACCTGTTGGTTTGTAGAATATATATTGTTCTCCAACTTGCTTTTTGCCACTTAATACTGTATGTAGGCATGTTTTCTATAACTAGATGTGGAAGTCTGCTAGTGTTAAACGCTGTTGAGTTGGTTGTGACTCATAGCTACCTTGTATACCCTGAAGAGTGGCTGTTGGGTTTAAATTGCGTACCTTGTGGTCAACAGTCCAGTGCTTATCCTACAGTGCCATACCAGGACTCCCAATTTACAGTAGTTCTATCTAAAATTTAAAATTTCCCTGGGAATGACATTAATCAGTCTTACCTGCCCTACTCCCCACCCCCCAAATTTGTGGGTAACTATTTTTCCGTGGATAATTGTATGACAAATACTTAAAGGACATAACAATTCTAACTTAGAAAACTGCATGAAAAACTCTTATTTAAATATGAGGAGGCTTCGAAAAGTTTGTGAAAAAATTACCTTTTAATTAAAAATTTCCACAAAGTTTTTGAAACCCCTTCATATGGCATTGATGCATTCACTTCAGTGACGTAAAAAGGAGGGAAATGTTTGCATTTGGAAATTTTGATATATATAAAAGGTAAGCACAGATCACAAGTGTGAAGTAGCTGTGACCAAGCTCACCTTTGAAGAACTAGGGCAAGCCATCCTTACTAGGTTACCATGAAATAGAAGGTAATGCTCCATCCTCTGAGTTCCACAATGTGAAGCAAATATGAAGACCAAAAAAAAAAAAAAAAAACTATTTTAGAAAGTTCAGGCCTTTATTCATAGCTTGGAAATGGAGTCTCCAGTCTTTAAAAGAGCCCCAGTTTAAAAGAGCCCGTGTTTAGCACTTGATTGCTAACTGAAAGATTGATGGCTCAAACCAACCACCGACTCCACTGCAGAAAAAGATGTGACAGTCTGCTTCCATAGACTGCAACCTTGACAATCCTGTGGGGCAGTTCTGCTCTGTCCTGTAGGCACACTGTAAGTCAGAATGGACTCATCAGTAGTGCCTAACCCAATGTTTAAAAAAAAAAAAAAAAAGGAAATTTAAGTGAGAAATTTTTAGGAAGTTGTTACGTGCCATCAACTAAACAGGAAATAAACAGAATTCACCAAAATATGTGTATAAGGATAGGAATTGCAGCTTATTTTTACAGATTTCCTCTCTAGCCTTACCATTTGTTGTTGTTAAGTATCTTTGAGTTGGTTTCAACTCATACCTGCCCTCTATAGGATTTCCAAGGAACAGCTGGTGGGTTTGAACTGCCGACCTTGTGGTTCATAGTCCAGTGCTGATCCTACATGTAGAGCCACTTTTCAGTAGGAATTGTTAATTTTCATAAGCAACTGGTTAGTTTTTACTTGTAGAAATCTTATCGCTATTTGTGCTTCCTTTTTTGTATTGCCGACTAGAAAACTGAGAGTCAAATGTGTGGTATGTCTCTAGAAAGTACGTAAGACTTCATAGCATGGGTGAACCTCACTGTTTGTTTTATCATCCTTTGGCTCTGAAGAGTAATATATTTCCACTAGAGGTTTTCCCAAAAGGGTCATTCTAGTGTTTATCTAGAATAGTCCATAGTAAGTTTCTTAGAAATCTTCTAAGACAGCTAGCTACTGTTGTGCTTTGATAACTGGTGTGTCCTCTTACCTCCATGCTACGGTTCTGTTCTGCTGTCTCCCTCTGGCCCTGTGTGATGCTCAAGACTCTCCCACCTTCTGATCTGGGGCCATTTCTGTTCTGCACAGCCCTTTAGAAATAGAATTGTTTGCTTTTTCTCTTTCTCACCCTTGGTGGTGGTGGTGAAGGGGAGATGACCAAAAATCTCTATCTCATCCTATAAGGAAAACAAAAGGTTCTTATATTTTCCAGTTCTAGAATAGAAAAACAGAAGTAACTATAAAATTTACTTCATTGTGACTTAGAATTCAAGGAGTGCTCCTGGTTTAATGCATGGGGTTCATTCTTTACAGGCTTGTTTGATGGTTTTAGTTTAATGTTCTTAAAGTATGTCTTTTTTTCTTTCTTTCTAGGTGAATGTCGGATGTGTACCCAAAAAGGTAGCATTTTTATTTCTTTTTCCTTCCACACTGTTTTTTCATTTTTGGTAAATCATGATCAGAATAAGGATATTTCCATATATAACTTTCTACAAAAGTTAACTGAGAACCAGAATCCAACCACAAATGGCATTAAACTAGAGGATAGTTTTTGCTTATGTTTTTTCATGTCACTTATTTAGAAGCATGGTGAGAGGTGGTTCCTGAGGTTAGCTTAATACTTAAGGATATTTGAAAGGTTAGTGCCTTCTCACCTTTCCACCCTGCTGTCTTAGGTCTGTACTCAACAGTAGCTCCCTCAGGGTCACAGGATGGTCCAGGAGTGCCAGGCAGGATATTCTTGGCCTCTAGTGTCTCTGAAGATTGCTGGGTTGCTAACCCCAAGATCAGCAGTTCAAATATACTAGTCACTCAGGGAGAAAGATGAGGCTTTCTGCTCCTGTAAAGATTTACAGCCTTGAAATTCTATACAGGGTTGCTATGAAAGTTGGACAGTAAATAAGAGAAGACTGTAGAAGAATTGATGCCTTTGAGTTATGGTGTTGGAGAAGAATATTAAAAGTACCATGGACTGCCAGAAAAACAAATAAAATTTGTGTTGGAAGAAGTATAGCCAGAATGCTCCTTAGAAGCCAGAATGATGAGACTTCATGTCTCTCATACTTTGGACATATTACTAGGAGGGACCAGTCCCTGGAGAAGGACATCATGCTAGATGATACATCATACCTTTCTTCAGTTAGCAGTCCAAGGCTCAACTCACCAGGGTTCCTATCTCTCATATAGAGCTTAATTAATTTGGGGTGTTTCATAAACACTCCAAGATGGTATTTCTCAAGTTGTTAGCACATTTCTGGGTTCAGTGCATAATTTACGTTTGTGGTAAGTTATCTGTTGATAAAATTATATCCTAATTCCCATTTTTGCTATACTAGAAATTCAAATTTATTTGTTCTCCCAGGAGTGATTGGACAGACTAGTGACAGGAATATCTAACATCAAAAGAAATCGGCTTATTTTTTTTTTAAATGATTCATTGATTTATTAGTTATGGGAGCGGGGCTATATCTGGGCCTAGTAATTAGGACTGGTTATCATCAGCATAAGGAACTCTGGTAGCATAGTGGTTACGAGTTGGGCTGTCAACCTCAAAATCAGCAGTTCGAAACTACCAGCTGTACTGTGGGAGAAAGATGAAGTTTTCTGCTCCCATAAAGGTTTGCAGCCCTGTAAACCCCACACACAGTTGCTGTGAGTTGGAACTGACTCCACAGCACACTACCAGTACCACCATCATCAGCTTGGATTCCTGGTGTGGCACTGTATGATTAGCACTGAACTGCTAACCAGAAGTTTGGCAGTGCAAACCCACCAGCTGTTCCTCAGAAACCCTGTACAGCATCACTGTGAGTCAGAACTGACTTGATGACACTTGACAACAATATCATCAGCAGCGTAGGATAACTTTTTCTTAATAAGGAGCCAGCAAACCTGATTACTGAATGGAATCTTTGTATTTCCGTTAACTTCTGTTGCTGTTGTTAAATGCTATTGATTTAGTTCCTACTCATCCCAACTCTGTATAGGGTTTCCAAGGAGCAACTGGTGAGTTTGAACTGCTAACCTTGTGGTTCAGACTGACCTTGCAGTCCAGTGCTTTAACCCACAATGCCACATTCTCTTTACCACTTTAGTGGTTTTAGGGTCTAATATCTGTTACACAGATCACATTGAATGAACTCATTCTTTACTAAGAGCAAGAGTTGGCAACTTTTATTTCCAAAGCTGCTTCTTGCTTATACTTGCAAATAATTTTGCTTGTTTGTATGCACTTTCAAAACATGTTATAATCCCTAGTTTACAACCCTTTATAACCAAGATTACATTTTAAATAGGCAGTATCCTATTATCACCAAAACAAATACTATAATTGCATCAGTGACTCACAGCTGACTTTAATTCTAAAAAGGTTTCTAAAATTTGTTCCTTAATCTAGGTAGGTTTTTTCTGAATTAGGAAAATTTCTTTTTCTCTTTGGGACATTTTCCTCAATTGTTTTCTTTCTTTTTGCTCTAGATTTTGGAATCTATTTAAAATTACTCAAGTATATGAATTATGTAAATTGCTATAACATGGTTTTATAATTAAACCAATTATGATCTTAAATTCAGTGTTAATTGGTACTATTTTGTTTGTTGTTGGTAAGTGCTGTCGAGTCAATTCCAACCCAGAGTGACCCTGTATAAGGTTTCCAAGGAGCAGCTGGTGAGCTTGAACCACCAACCTTGCAGTTCAAATGACTTTGCAGTCTGACGCATTAGCCCACAGCACCATACAGGACTTCATTATTTTAAAATATTGTTTGGCTTAAACTAAATAGTAACCACCCTCTCTAGATACAGTATCACACATAGTACAAATTGAGTGTAAGTAATAATGCTACCTCATAATAATATGAGGAAAGTGATATTTGAATTTGTGGAACTGAAAAACTTTTCACACTTTTTTAACTTTCTATTGTGATTTGAGTGAAAGTTTAGAGTGCAAATTGATTTTCCATTCAATAATTCATTCACTTTTATTTCTGACATTGATTGCAATTCCCACAATTTAACAGCACTCTTTTCACTTCTTTCTTATGTTTATTGTTTCTATTTCTTATCCATTCCTGCCTTCTGAGTTTTATCCCTGGGCAAAGCCACCCTTTTGATTGCCTGAGGTTGATTGTCCTATTCTAAGGAGTGTATTTCTCCCTGGGGTTAATGTTCACCTTTTGTGCCTGTCTGTTTGGCTAAAAGTTGAGCCATGGCTGTGAGTTGTGTTCCAGACTTGAAATGCAGCTAACGGGCCTATAGTCTTGGGGGTTCCACCAGTCTTGTCTGACCAGTGAGCCTTGTCTTTTTTATGATTTTGAGTTTTGTTGTGCAGTTTTCTCCTGCTCTATCCAGAGGACCTCCTTTTATATGTAATCCTTTTCTAACAGTGATAGCTGGACACCATCTAGTTCTTCTGGACTCAGCATCATGGAGGCTAGGATTTGTGTGGACCATTAGTCCTTTGGGCTAATTATTTCCATGCATCTTTGATTTTTTTCTATTCTTCTTTGCTCCAGATTGGAAACAGACCACTGGTTGCACCCTAGATGGCTGCTTACAAGATTTTTAAGAGCCCAGTCGCTACTTACCAATGTAGGACATTGTCTTTGTAGGCTGTGTTTTTCCAATTAACCTTGATATCCTTCTAGACTATGGTTCTGAACCTCCAGGCCTAGAGACTCATTCCCTCTCAGTCATCAGTTTACACATCTTTAGGATAAGGGGAGAAGGCACAAAGAAGGACTCTCAGGCTTATCTGACAGAGAAAATAGTTTGTCATGTAGAGTTATGGATGCCAATTTAATTTCAGTTACCATAATGATCAGTGGGATAAAAGACCTTTCATGTTATAGACCACTTTCCATAATCCTTACAAGAACAGTTTGTTAGTTACTGAATAACTAAACCAAACCCACTGTCACTGAGTCTGTCCCAACTCGTAGTGACCCTATAGGTCACCATAGAATAGAACTGGTGGAACCCCCAAGACTGTAGGCCCCTTTGTTACATTTCAAGTCTGGAACACAACTCATAGCCTATAGAATAGAACTGGTGCATAGGGTTTTCAAAGCTGTACTTTTTATGGAAGTAGACTGCCACATTTTCCTTCACAGAGGTTTGAACCTTCAACCTTTTGATTAGCAACTAAGTGCTTTAACTGCTACACCACCAGCGTTCCTTTGGGTAATTGAATACATAATTGTTGTTAAGTGCTGTCAAGTCAGTTCCGACTCATAGCAGCTCTGTGTAGGGTTTCTGAGAAGCAGCTGGTGAGTTTTTAACCACCAATCTTATAGTGCTTACCTACAGCAATAGGAATTCTTTATTTTATAACATAGTTCTCAACTTTATCTAAAAGATGTCTTTGAATGACTTTACTTATAGATGTGACTTCATTGCTGGGACATGTATCAAAGAGGTCAGGGCTTAAAGAAATTGAAAACTTTTTTTTTTAGATATGTAAAAAAAAACAAATTTTAAAGAAAGGAATATAAAGCTACTCTATTTTTATGGTGTTTACAAGTTATGTAATTTAACAGCAGAAATAATTTTCCCCAGCATTTCAGAAGCCTCAGTATAGAAGCTGTCTAGTCATATCTCTGACCTTTCTCTTTTGAAATGTTTAGTTTTTGTGAACTTTCACCCAAACTACAATAGATAGCTCCCTACACCAAAAAAAAAAAAGAAAAATTTTCTTTTTTTTTTAAAGATAATTACTTTTATTTGCTATTATGTTGTTGTTGTTTCATCCATGGTTTCTGACTGCCTTCAAAACTCATCCATTTTTTATTTTGGATCCTTTTTGATAGGTAATGTGGAACACAGCTGTCCACTCTGAATTTATGCATGACCACGTTGATTATGGCTTTCAAAGCTGTGAGAGTAAATTCAATTGGAGGTAAGTGTTAAATGTTCACAGGGTTTGATTTACAAATGTGGATTTTTTTTTTTTTTCATAACTAAGTGAGCTGTAATTTTTTTGGAGTCATCAAATTTTCAATTTTTTTTGTTGTTGCAAATTCATTCATTTAGTCCAATGTTTGTTGAGCAGTCACTTGTGCTTGGCATTGTGCTAAAGCAGCGCTCCTTATCTTCTATGCAGAAAGATATTTACCATGGATACCAACTGAATATTCTCCATAGGGTGGAATAAGGCCTTCTACATGGGAAAGTAGATGGACACCAGGGAAGAGATGACTGTCCTCAGAGACATTCACCCAGTGGGGTTCTTGTTGCCACCTGTGATTCTCTGTTGAGGGATATTCAAGGACAGTTGCCTTGGTTACTGTACTGACTGAAAATCCTGTTTCTTAGTAATGACTCAGGTTTCATTGCAGTGTTATAAAAGAAAAACGGGATGCCTATGTGAGCCGCCTGAACACCATCTATGAAAACAATCTAACCAAGGTTTGTAAGCTGAGTTTTGAACTTTGGAAAAAATCTTTTAGCCACTGGAATGAGCTACCAAGTCTGACTAAGATAACCTTGGAATATATCTCTTAATTGGGCCTATTATTTCTTTTGCCATTGATGAATATGAAGTTGACATGTCTAAGCAGAAGCCTCTGTCTTAGCAGGCTCTTCTATGGAGAGTGGGTGGTGTATGCCAGAGTACATTGACCAAGTCTTATCTAATGGCTGCATTTTCAGTAGGTATGGCTCTCCACTTAGATTCAGAAATCAAACACACAAGAGACCATATGACTGTTTAAGGGCCCCTGGTGGCACAGTGGTTCAGCACTCATTGCTAACTTAAATGGTCAGTGGTTTGAATCCAGCAGCCATTCCTTGGGAAAAAGATGTAGCAGTCTGTTTCTATAAAGATCATAGCGTTGCAAAGCCTCTCGGGACTGTTCTACTCTACCTGATCATTGTGATTCAAAATTGACTCAACAGCAGTGGATGTGGTGTGGTTTGGGATGCCAGTTTATTCATTAAAATTAGGAGAGTTATCTGGCTGGAAACCTGGCATTGTTCCTTTGCTCACATCACTCTCATCCTGGGGGGGTTGGCTCTACTCGGAAGACCAAATTAGGGTTCAGATGGTTGTTTTTATCATTTAAATCTAATAAAAAATTTTAAATAATTATCTTTCACTGTACTGAGGCTTTTCTGCCATAGTCCTTAAATATCATACCTCTTGTACCTGGACTATGCTAAGAACTAGGCAAACTGTGTCATTCTCTTGACCACATCTCTCCCATCACAAAATACCTTTATGGCCTCATTTAGCAAGTTCTAAGATTTCAGCATAGCTGAAATCATGTTTATATTAGTAGATACTTGATGACATTTTGTCCACTGTAATCTCATTAGCAGCATGTTTTTATAACCCATTTTTTAGTTTCTTCTAGAGATGCCTAACCTCATATATCTCTATATTGATCTTATCATTCATTGGGTTTCTTTTTTGAAGGGTGATACTTTCTTACCTTAACCCCCAGTATGAGGACCTAGGAGTCCTGGTGTGGCTCTGTGGGGTAATGCGATGGACTGCAAAGTTGGTTTGAACCATAAGGTTGGTGGTTTAAGCTCACCAGATACTCCTTGAAAACCCTAAGCAAGGTTGCTGTGGGTTGGAGCCGACTCAACTGCACTTAACAATAACAACATGAGGACCTAAGTCCCCTATGCATCAACTGTATATTTTCAAGTTGGCAGACATGAGCCTTCAGATACCATTTGCTATACTAAAAAAATCCATATCAAATAAAAAAATAAAAAGAACTAGCCAAAATACTTCTGTCAAAAGGTAGAAAAATTACTGAGGAATTCAGAATTGTTAATATTTACAAGGAGCTCTGGGTTGTGTGTTGGGCTGCTAGCCACAAGGTTAGCAGTTTGAGTTTTCCAATCGCTCCTCAGACTATACAGGGTCTCTATGAGATGAAACCGACTCAAGGACACTTAACAACAACAACATTCACAAATTTTAGTGTATAGTAGAATGTATCTGGCTGTTTTCTTTCTAGCATTTAATATAGGGATGGTGTCACTTAAAGTTGACCCAGAAATTCTGCATCGGAAATGAAAGTTAAGATCTGATCCCTTCCTCCTCCAATTATTATCTGCATTATTGTCTCTCTGCCGATCCCATTTTCTGTCTAGCACCCAAGGAAATCATTGCGTAGAGGCTGTGATGTTTGCTGTTGATCTTGATTTAGCTTTATTAAACTGGACACGTTCAGGAATAGGCCTGGGTTATGGTGGTTGAAATGGAGGAAATACTAGGACACAAGCATGTTCCAGAATTTTAAAACATTTAATTTTATGAACATGCTTATATGGGACATTATCCTTGTAAAGTGCCCATGTTGGTGTGCCAGTGTCTGTATCATGGCCGACAGAAGTTTGATGTCAGTCCCCAAAGCAAGGCCCTGGTGCAGATAATGCTGGTAAGAGAAATTCAGAGTTTGGATTCTCAACATCTAGCACAGAACTACCCTGTAATGGAATTTTGTGATAGTATTCCCATTTTGCTCAATCACACAGAAGCACTGCCATTTTCTTCCCTTGACCAGAGTCTTTATTTGCCTTTAGCCTGTACTCCCTTCACCTTTATCTTCCTGTCTTTTACACAAGGGCTTTCAGCTGGCTTTTTCTGGTGTGAGCGCCTCTGCTGAGAATTTGCCTTTGCACGCAGATGTACTAAATCTGAATCTGCATTTTAACAAGATTCCCTGGGTGATTCTTACGATGTTGTTGTTACATACTATCAAGTTGGGTCCAACTAATAATGACCCTATGCACAACAAAATGAAACACAGCCTGGTCTTGTGCCATCCTCACAATTGTTGTTACGTTTGTGTCCATTGTTTTTGCCACTGTCAGTCCATCACGTTGGGGATCTTCCTCTTTTACGTTGTCTCATCATTTTACCAAGCATGATGCCCTTCTCCAGGGACTGGTTCCACCTGATAACATGTCCAAGACACAGAATCTCACCATCCTGGCTATCCTATAAGAAGCATTTTGACTGTAGTTCTTCCAATATAGATCTGTTTGTACTTCTAGCACAGTCCATGATACTTTCAGTAGACTCCTCCGACACCATAACTCAAATGCATCAGTTCTTCTTTGGTCTTCCTTATTCATTGTTTAACTTTTACATGCAAATGAGGAAATTGAAAATACCTTGGCTTGGTTCAGGAGCACCTTAGTTCTCAAACTGACATCTTTGTTCTTGAACACTTTAAAGAGGTCTTGTGCAACAAATTTGCCTAATGCAAAACATCATTTGATTTCTTGATTGATGCTTCCATGAGTGTTGATTGTGGAACCTAGAAAAATGAAGTCTTTGACAAGTTCAATCTTTTCTCCATTTATCATGATGCTATTTTTGGTGATTCTTACAGATTCTCAAAATGTATTCTGATTTCATATATCTGGGGTGGAGAAGGAGATTCTAAGTAGGGAATCACACCAGAATAAACCAGTTCATAGCCCTGTGATTCAAAGTCACCCTCTTATTGGTGCTTTGGTGTTGGTTTTGACTCATGGCAATCCTGTATGGGATTTCCGAGGTGGCAATTCTTTGCGGGAGCAGAAGGCTTCACCTTTTTCCCACTGAGCAACTGATAGGCTCAAACCACTGATCTTGTGGTTCACTGTGCAGTGCTTATCCTACAAAACCACCACGCTCCCCACCCCTCCTCTGGTTGGTTGGTGGTTGATAAGTGCTGTTGAATTGGTTCTGGCTCATAGTGAGACCCTGCATAGGTTTTCTGAGGAGTGACAGGTGGGTTTGAACCACCAATCTTGTAGTTAACAGTCCAGTGCTTATCCTACAGCAGCATGCCCCGCCTATGGACCCATCAGTGTATTTTCATTGAGAGTAAGGAAGGTTTTCCCCTCAAATCTTGGGTACTAAGATGCAGTCTTAGGGTACCATGGTTTCTTTTTACTGTACACTTGTGCATCAAATGGCAACCCCCTTACCTAGGTATCAAGTCATAGGAATTCTGCACAAATCTGGAACAACAGAGAGTTGTTTGGGCATCAGCTAACTGAAAATCAAACTCAGTAGAGAAACAGGAAGGCGTAATAAGTTGCAGCAGGTGGTTTTATTTTATCTTAAGAGAAATTAAAAGCCCAGTAACGTTTCCATGGCCCCTTCTCCAGTCCCATATAGATTTCATCCATGGCTATGCAGCATTCACCTGTGATCCCATGCCCACAGTTGAGGTCAATGGGGAAAAATACACCGCTCCTCACATCCTGATTGCCACAGGTGGCATGCCGTCACTTCCTCATGAGAGCCAGATCCCTGGTGAGTCTTCCAAAGGCAAATTCTAGAGTCTGCTGTTTTAATAACTGATGAGCTATGGGGGAGGGAGGTGAAGCAAGGAATCACAGATTGTGACATCTCAAGACTTTGAGTCTGGAGTATTGAGGAAGTTCCTTTAACTAAGTGATAAACTTGGTGGGCGTATGGCTCTGGAGATAGGTTCAATTCTAAGTATATTGACTTTGAAGCAAAGTCAGATAGTGTAACAGGACAATTCAAAATATAGAACTGAGACTTGTGGGAAAGGTCAAAACTGGAATGATGCATTTGAGAGGTCTTCGTGTGTAGTTGAGAATTGTTTGAAACCTTTGAAGAATAAAGCAGAAAAGAGACCAAGGCTGAGTGGAGGGGTGTCTCCCTAAATTTGGGGGTGGATGAGAGTGTGAAGCAGAGCCAGAAATGTAATCATGAGGGCTAAAGAGATCTTAGTTCTTCAGAGAAATTACTGAGTCATCTATCTCCTGTTTCTGGAGAGAAAATAAAAACGTTGACTCTGGGAAGAACTTATTTGGCAGCTTCTCAAGTAGAGGCTTTAACAAAACCTGTCAAAACAATATGTCAACTGAGAAAGTGATTGGTTCTTGCATAAAATGCTGTGATTAGTTTTCAAGAAAGCACAGTCTTGTGTGATCTATCGAATTTTCCCACTTAGGTGCCAGCCTAGGAATAACTAGTGATGGCTTTTTTCAACTGGAAGAATTGCCTAGGTAAGCTGGTTTCTTTCTCCATCTCAGTGGTTCATTCTTCCCTTCCATCTCTTCTACTATCATTTTTTCTACTGCTTTCTCTCAGTCATTAAATTCTGAATTTAATTCCTGAGTTCTGTCCTCCATGTAGAGCTGTAGGATAGGCACTCAACTGCTAACTTCAAGGTTGGTGGTTCAAGCTAGCTGCTCCTTAGAAACCCTATACAAGGTTGCTATGAGTCAGAACTAACTCGATGGCACTTAACAACAAGAAGCCCTTCTGTAAGGAGCCCTGGTGATGCATTGGTTAAACGCTTGACTGCTAACCAAAAGATTGGTGGTTTGAAGCTACCAGCCAGTCCAAGGGAGAAAGATATGACAGTGGGCTTCTGTAATGATTGATAGCTCTGGAAACCCCATGGGGGTAGTTCTACTCTGTCATGTAGAGTCACTATGAATCAGAATCTACTTGAAGGCACACAACAACAGGTTCTTCTCGATTTGGGGGTCTGATCTACTGGCACCGCTCAGCAGATGACTCAAATCTTTAATACTTTTAATCTGAGCTAGGTGCAAAAGTGTTAGAATCAGAATCAAATAGTGACTTCCAAAAATAAATGGTGACGCCCACCAGACAAAATCAGCCTGGGTTTCCAGATATGAAAGCAAAACCACATTTTAAAAGTATCTTTTTTCTTCATTGTCATACAGCATCAATTTGTGATGTGTCTAAAACAATGTTGATTCTGATTTTTAAAGCAGTTAGTGCGTTGGGGTCTTTATAAATGAAGGCTTTATGTCACAAAAATGTTTTCTGAAATTGTTTTTTGTGCTAGAACAGCCTCAGTAAACATTTGTCATGCATTTAGATAACACAGAGGGAAAAAAGACAATGAATAATTTGAAGATGTTGCAAATTGAAGACTTTCTGGATTATAGGGATCCATCCTTCCCTCATAAGAGGTAACACCTAGGGACAGACGGAGGGCCCTGTTGGCCCGGAGACTGGCCTATATCTCCCTGTGCACAGCGTTCACTGTAGAGTTGAGATTGCTCAACTCTCCTACTCCCTCAGGTGTGTTGCCAATCCAGTTTGAGGTCTTAATCCTTTGCTTTTATACAGGCTTTCATGGAGGATGACTAATAGTTCACTCCGGAATCTTTACCTAAGCCACACACAGATAATACAGGGCAAGTGAAGGACTCTTAGCAGTTCCATAGCTCCCATGAAAGCTTCCCATTAAGATTCTCAGAGAAAAATTGGTATTCTTGTCAGAGTTGCTGTCAGGGTATGGAAATGGTTTGAGAACAGACTTTCTTCGTTCATGATCTACCCTGAGTGGTTCAATTTTAGGGTTGAATGGTATGTGACAATGTGTCTGAAATCATCATGACTCAGCATGCTTAGATTATATTATTCAACCCAGACTCATCTTCCAAGAAGTGTCCTTATAGGTATCTGTCCGCTGAATTAAATTGTTAAACTTACGTTGACATTTGTATTATGAACAAAAGGTTCTGAGGACACAGGAAAATGAATCAATAATTAATAAGTGATTTTTCTAAGATTCCTTTTCCATTGTTACAATGTTTATGAATACATAAAGAATGAGGGAAACAACCAGGGCTTCCAAACCCTCCATTCTAGTTCAGCCAATGGAAACACAAATTCCCAGCAGGGGTTGAACTGGAAAGATCTGGTTCAAAGTCCTGGAAAGAACAAATATTGTAGGCTCCCTACCATATGCCGTGGACTGTATGATTCCGTTTTTGCCCTCAGAGGACAGGGTAGAGGATGAACCCTGCGTTAGTAGTTCTGAGTTCCATAATGAGGTTTCAGAAGTACTTTAGGGGCTTGGATTCCATCATTTTCAGTGGATTCTTGAGTGGTAAGTGGGGAAGAAAGGTGCTTCTGGGAGCTGAGAGAGAAACACTAAGCTCCTTGCAGTTCTCAGAAGCAGCCATGTTGTTTTATAAGTTTCTTGTATTATCCCCCTACACACACTGAAATGTTTCTCCTAGCCTCTTTCTAAGAACAGACTGCTGACTCTGTGCCTCAACAATCTTCAGGGTATGTTTCTCCCTCCAGCGTTTCTCAGGGACAAGGAGCCTTGCACATCCTATCTAGTGCAATGCTTAGCACAAAGTAGAATTTAAATACAAACGTTAGGGAAGACAAATAAGGTGGGTAATGGTTGAAGAAAAAAGGGGAATACTGAAAGAAAGGAAAAGAGGTTATACACATGTGTGTATAACAGAAGAAAAGGAGATCAAAATGGAAATAGAGCTATTTCAGAGATGGTGAACTTCTAGAAATTTCTCTTTTTATCCTCTGGGTTGTAGGATAAGAGGCTCATCACTTCTAACTTAAGAGCCATTTGGGTTCATACTTAATGTTCCAGTCAGAATTTAAATCCCCTGAGGGCAGAGATTCACAACACAGGCTCCTTGTTATTAAAAAGAAACAAACAAACCAAACGATTGCCATTAAGTTGATTCATGGCAACTCCATGCGTGTTGGAAGATTTCTCTTGTTCTCCCCTGATTATTTGGGTCACATGCAAACGTTGTGAAAATGGTAACCACGTTAGACGCATTAGGAGATTTCAGTCACCCATGATGGATGGCTCCAGCTCAGTGGCACTTATTCTCCATTACTGCGAGGCAGTAAACATTACTGTACTACCACCAACATCTGAGCTGCTTCCTTATTGATTCAAACATTTGTCCAAGGCTTTAACCAGTTTTTAAGATTCTTCTTTGGCCAAATCTAGGGACTTTAGTTTTATTACAGAGCAATATTAAAAAGTAAAATGGCTTACTTAAATTGGTCTTTAATCGTATCTCAAGGATTAATAGAATTGAATAATGATCAAGAAGAAATCCTGAGCAGAAAACAAAAATGATCGTGAGAAATGTGGCTCTGAATATAGTTTTAGGTTGTTATGTTGTTGTTGTTGTTGTCAAGTGCCATCGAGTCAATTCCAACCCATAGCGACCCTGTATAGGGTTTCCGAGGAGCAGCTGGTGAGCTTGAACCACCAACTTTGCAGTTCAAATGGCTTTGCAGTCTGGTGCATTAATCCACAGCGCCACACCAGGACTCCATAGTTTTAGGTAATAAATGAAAGAGTCCAACTGTCTAAATTTTTTGTTTGTTTGTTGCCCTCTGAAGACATGAAGCTAAAGTACTTTTAAACAACTAGAAACCTATATTCTCTTCTTCCACAAAGGATTTTTTTTTTTTAACTTAAAATTGGATCTTAGAACAGAAAAAGAACACTAATGGTACATTGGTGAAATATGAATAAAGTCTGGAGTTTACTCAGTAGTTTGAGGAGGGGCTTCAAAAAATTTTAGGGAAAAACTCCATTATCTTTTAATTTCATTTTTTCACAAATTTTTTGAAGCCCCCTCTTATTGTACCAATATCAATTTCATTTTGACAAGTATACCATGATTATGCAAGATGTTAACTTTCGGGAAAACTGACCAAAAGATAGAAGAGAGATCTCTGTACTCTTTTCAACTACTTTGTAAATCTAGAACCAAAAGCTTATTTAAAAAAAAATGAATCGTGTGTTCTCCTTATAGCCGCAGTGTCATTGTTGGTGCGGGTTACATTGCTGTGGAGATAGCAGGAATCCTTTCAGCTCTGGGTTCTAAGACGTCGCTAATGATACGGCATGATAAGGTAAATTCTGTCCTTTTCCCTTTCCTTAATGTTAGTGTTTGTTAAAATCAACATCCGGAATTGTTTATGTTGTCATTAAATGCTAGGGTGCAGACAAAGCTTGTGGAGGTCAGTTGGTCTGTTCCACATTGGTCTGCATCCAAGTTATTTGAATTTGGCCTCATAGTTCTGCCCAGTTGCCAACTACTAGGTGAGAATAATTATTCTGATCTGATCAAACTGGCTGGTGTTTTTATCATGAAATGATGAATAGTCATCAGATGCCTTAATAGGAGTCAAACAGACTAGTACAAATACTAGTACAAAAACTAGTACAAATACTAGTTAAATTAAAATGTCTGTCAGGCCAATTTTTTATTCTGGAAATCAATTTTATATGATTAAGTAGTTAACAGAAAAAAATCAAAAAAGGCTTCATTAAAGGTGGGATTAGAGATCCTCTGCTAATTAGTATCAATTGAAACCGGGGAGTCAGCTACTAAGTCAGGAAGCCAGGCAAACATTCTTTGTGCTACAATGCAGCCTCCATGTTTGTCATGCTTTGGAAAAGTGCTGCTTTAATGTGATTTGTTGATGAACTGTTTCTGAACACCTCTGTTGTGTGGCACAGCATTAGAGCTTTCAGACATATTGTAGAGTAGTAACAAGAGTATTGGTCCCTAAGTGTTGCCTACTGTCCCTAACAAGCACATGACTTGAACAAGTCACTTAATGCTTTTGGTTCCTTGTTCCACAGGGACAGCTTTCTCAGATCCCTGACCACTCAAATGCTGTGATCACAATTCTTGATTATTTGAGCTTATGGAGGGAAGACAAAGGATACGGACCATCCTAGTCAGTGTATACTCCTAGGAACTTTCTCTCTGGCTTCAAAACTTGTCATGTAATTAACCCCTAAGAGATTTATGTCCTGAGTAATGTTTTTCAGAGGAAAGTTTGTTTGCATTGCTGGAGTAGATCCAACAAATTGGAAAAAAGAGAAAAAGCAGACAGATAGCCCAGGTTGAATAAATGTGAATAAGTAAATTATAAAAAAAAGAAACAAAAACTGCAGCAGTTTATCAGTAGAGAACTCCATTTGAAAAACTTGGCATGTTTGCAGAAAAACACATGTACTTGGGCTTTCTGTCCTCCTGTGTCCTCCCTGCTTCGGGCATATTTTCCCTCTTTTCTCTGTCCTAGCGTAACTTCATTTTAGAACTTTGCTATGAATAACTCATGACATCCTAAACTCTGCTGAGGGACTGGGTGTATGTGCGCATTATCCTGAATAAATCTCTAAGGCTAAGTTAATGAGATTTCTGGCTAGGTAAGTGCATTTAGGTAAAGACCCTTCCCTTAAATCCTATCAGAGGGAAAGCTGGACTTGGAATTCTAAAGGAGGAAAGAACATTTCTGCTCTTTACTCTTACTGGAAGGAGAGCAACATGCTGAAGATAGCAGAGGCCTGAAAGTTGACTATCCATTTCATTCTAAAACAGGAGCTGGTGATATCACATGGAATTCTGACATTGGTGGCGACTTTAGGAAAAGAAAGCATTTATTAAAATTCAGCTGTAATTTAACTATGAATGAAGGAGGGACGGGAAGATGGAGACAATTTTCCTCCCGTGTTTGCAGCACATCTTTAATCAAGTTTTATTCATTGCCCACCACCCTTCCCTCTGCTGCCTGTGTTTGCATACAGGTACTTCGAAATTTTGATTCACTAATCAGTTCAAACTGCACTGAAGAGCTGGAGAATGCAGGCATTGAAGTCCTCAAACACTCCCAGGTATGACTGAACCCTTGCTGGCTTCACCTGATTAGTTTTATTAACATAGGCACTATGGTTTCTCCAATCCACCAATTTCCTTCTAGATGCTACAAATTACTTTCTTTTTCCTAGGAAACTGTATATCATGTTAACATATCAATGAAGTCAAAGATATAAAAGATGAGAAATCTAACAGTTGAATCTAGTACTAAAACTTTGGTCTTATTATAAGCCCTTTTGTTTTAGGTTTCTATTTCAGGAAACATTATAGACTATATAATAATAAAAATCATTGCACTTTTCAGTTTTGTAGATGGAAAGAGATATGAAATATCTTGCTCCTTCTAAATTTCAGAATTCTCTTAGAGAATTAGCCTTAAATTTTTATTTATTTGGTTTTTTTTCTCAACAGCTTCACCCTTTCAGCATAGGCCATATCAAGTGAAGTAATAAATGTGAACACAAAAATGCTACCCAGGTGTTTGGTAGTTGATAGCAGAATCACCTTAGGACTTTCACTAAAATATATAACATACTCAACTCTCTTGACTCTCATACCACCTCCCTCCATGCTGGTTAAGAATGTCCAAGGAGAAACAAAGGTTGTGCAAGTTTGAAAAACTTTTCCTGCCTGATAGCCTACTCCTTCACCACACTCCAGCAAAAACTACTGTTTATGACTTTTAGCTTTACCACGGTTCTTAAGAAGTACACATGTAAACATTCTGTCTTTAAATGGAAACTTTTTTGATAGTGTATTATTTTGCTAGTGCTGCTATCCCCAAAATACCACATTTGGGTAGCTTTAATGAACAGAAATTTATTTTCTCACAGTTTTAGGAAGCTAAAAGTCCACATTTAGAGAACCTGCATTAGAGGCAGGCTCGTTATCCATTGTGGGGAAAATCCCTGTGTCCACTTTTCTGGAATTCTTGTCTCCTTTGGGGATCATGTGGCAGCTATCTTTCCCCCATTTTGCCTGATTGGTTCTGTGCTGAATCTGCTCAGTAGATTGCTCAAAATGGATTAGGTTCAATCAATACACATCCTACAATGATGTGGTCACATTAACAAAGAAAATTCCATTCCCAAATGGGACTACATCCAGAGGTATAAAACCAAAACCCAATGCCATGACTCATCGTGACCCAAAGGACAGAGTAGAACTGCTCCATAGGGTTTCCAGAGCTGTAAATCTTTCCATACTACCTCATTGTTCTCCCAGCTGGTGGGTTTGAACTGCCAACCTATTGGTTAACTGCTAAGCACTTAACCATTGTGCTTCCAGGATTCCTATTCCAGTTATGTAAGGGCTAGGCACAATTCAGTCCATAACAGATGGTGACACGCACTGATGTTCTGGCCATCAACTGGATGATTTCCGACAACTTTGGATACTGGCTTATCCCTATGGCGTCCTTGGGCAAAAGTAAATGCCTATATCAACATGTAGAATTTATTGGAGGTGCTTTGTTGTTGTTATTGTTTTAATGTTTGTAATTCTAGTTTTATCTTTATTTGCCTTCCTTTAAATTTTTTAATTTCCTCATTTAAATACATCTTACTTGCCAATAGGTCAAAGAAGTTAAAAAGACAGCATCAGGCTTGGAACTCAGCATGGTTACATCGGCTCCCGGTAGGAAACCCACCTGTACTGTGATTCCGGATGTTGACTGCCTGCTGTGGGCCATTGGACGGGAACCAAATTCCAGGGGCCTTAATTTAAACAAACTGGTAAGCTAAGCTAATTTAAACCCACTAATTTGGGGTCTGCTCTCTGTTAACTTTCATAACATAGTGGTTACGAATTGGGCTGCTAATCTTAGGGTCAGCAGTTCGAAACTACCAGCTGTTCCATGGGAGAAACATGAGGCTTTCTGCTCCCGCAAAGATTCACAGCCTCAGAAACCCTGTACAGGGTCTCTGTGAGTCAGAACCGACTCCATGGCACATAACAACAACAAGCATTCTTTGTGAATTGGGTGATGACCTAAACATACTTGAATTTGTTAGTGGCCCTGTGATTTTGGTTTTTTTTCCCCCAGACATACAAAATTTTGATGGGTCTCATTGGATTCTATTCTCTTCATTCCATAGATCCAATTTATCATAAAATGCTGTTGCTCCTTTCTTTGACATTAATTTTGTTTAAAACCTTTTTCTCATTTCTAGTGTTATCACTCTAGAACCTTTCTGCCACCTCTAACCTAGGTTGCCCAGTAGTTTCCTGACAAACTTCAACTGTACAGACTTTGATTTCACTCTCATACTTGAAGCTGTATGAAGATTCCTTCTTGTCTGCAGCATCTCAACCAGGATACTGAGTGTGTAGTACATCCTGGACATTGTGGTACATGGGATGGAACTGATCTGAAGATAATTTCTCTCTCTCTGTTGTTGTTAAGTGCCGTCGAGTCAATTCTGACCCCTAGTAACCCTGTATAGGGTTTCTAAGGAGCAGCTGGTGAGCTTGAACCGCCGACCTTGCAGTTCAAACGGCTTTGTAGTCTGGTGCATTAACCCACAGTGCCATACCAGGACTCCTCTCTCTCTCTAGGCTCTACCAATATTATATTTGCCGAACAGTTAGAAATTGAGTCTAGTATAGTAGCTTGAGACAAGTCCCCAGAGGCTGACCCAACTCTGAACTTTAGTTGTACTTTTTACAAATTGCATGGCCTTGAGCAAGGAACTTACTCTTTCTACATTTTAGTTGCTTCATAGGTAATTTGGAAATAAAAACATTGTTTGCTTCATTGTGTTACAGAGAAAAGTCCATGAGAACATGCATGTTAACCTTCTGCTATTGATGATTTTTCTGATATGCTGTTCTACTCTGCTAGTTATAATAGAATATTTATATATTTGAGATTTATATATCTAATGGAGACTCTTGAACAATCTGTAACACTTTGATTCCATTTTAATAATTTCTGTTATGATTTAAATTCCTTGTTCACATCTATAAGAAGTTATTTTTCAGCAGTGTGAAGAATAATCAAAGAGCTGTTTTTTACTTGCTTTCAATTTTATTCGGTGAAATTAAAAAAAAAACACACCAAGCTGTACTGTCTTCATATTAGTGAAACTATTCAAACAATTTTTCACCTTTTTAGAGATATTCACTTTTGTACAGACAGATAAATGCATTAGTAGATTTAGTTTTCAAGAATGAAAAAACAAAAATATTATCAGTTTCATTCCATGTTATGTACATTTGTGTAATGCAAATAGAATGATTACCGTGTCCTAGACCCTGTCAACACATTTTATTGAATTTAGTCTTGCTGACAACTCTGTGAGGAGTAAGGATGAGAAAACTAGGAGCACAGAGATAATAAATAATTTACTAAGCTATAATCTTCGTGGGGCAGGGAGAATGTCACTGTTTCCCAGTGACTAAGGTGTAATGCAAAGGTTGAGAGCAAAGAGTAAGGATCAGTAGTTGGAAAATATGGCCTTGGTGATAGAAATGATGCTGGAGAACACAGATAGAATTCTGCAAAACCAATGATTTGTTCATTTCATACACCTTCTTTAGACAGCATAAGAGACAACTATACACATGGACCGCACCAGACAGAATAAACAGAAATCAAATTGACTACATCTGCGGAAAGAAACGATGGAAAAGCTCCATATCATCCTTGAACACAAGGCCAGGGGCAGACTGTGGAACAGACCATCAATTACTCATATGCAAATTCAAATTGAAGCTGAAGAAAATGAAAACAAGTCCACTAGAGCCAAAATATGACCTTGAATATATCCCACCTTAATTTAGAGATCATCTGAAGAACAGATTTGATACATTAAGCACTAAAGACCAAAGAACAGAAGAGTTGTAGGATGACATCAAAAACATCATACAGAAGGAAAGCAAAAAGTCATTGAGAAGACAAGAAAGAAAGAAAAGGTTAAAGTAAATATAAGAAGAGACACTGAAACTTGCTTTCCAGCGTAGAGATGCTAAAG